AAAAAAAGTTGATATTTTGAGAAATTTCGAGGTTGGATTGGAGCTTTGCAGGCCAGAGAACCACAACCCCTACAGAGTTGAGTTTCAATTTTCCCTTTTTTTTTTTTTTTTGTTACTCTCTTCTTCAATATTTCAATTTTAAGTGTTGCGTTCCCTAAAAATATTTCTGTTCCAAAATTACTATTAATTGACATAAATTTATGAAATTCAAAGGTTAAAGACTATTTTTTTCAATAATATAAACAGGTAAAGTACAAATTAAGTTGACAATGACCACGATTTAAACTATATTAACGTTGCCATTGTTTAGTATTTTACGACATGTACGAAAAGGTCCAAGCAATTCTCTCTCTCTCTTCTTTTTTTTTTTTCAAATTTTATGTGAACAAAAGCAAATATAGTTATCCTATACATATAGTCCTTGTTCGATAGGGATTAAAATAAAATTTTTAGTAGACTAAATTTTGATATGTGTGGTTAAAAAGCTTTGGATCCCATAAAATGTGTAATTAAAATTAATTGTTAATTTTGACTTAGACTAAAATTTGAATTTGATTTTATACCAAACAAGACATAGTATTATTATTAAGTCAAAAGTTTGAAGGGAGCAGCCTAAGAAATTAAATTACGTGATTTCTTTTGTTAATCCTAAACCTTTCCCCTTCATCACATAACATATTTTGTAGTGTCTCTATGCTGTCACCCATATAAGGTCGATAGGATCAATCTCCATATTATGTTATAATTAGATAAGAATCAATAACGGGTGGAGAATCAAAAACTGTTCGATACTCGACCAATTCTCGATTTCAAATGGGTTGTTCGGATGTAAAAAATAAATTTTCGGTGACTTTATCTTTGTAATTTGTACATTATTGTATTTTTGGTTGCCGATTTGAAGCTTTATGTTGCAATAAAACTTTATATACTTTTGTGGATGCTCAACAGAGAATTAGATGTTGAAAGTGGTCAACTAACATATGAGGTTTCGATCAGAAAAATCTTAATATTCGACCATTTATTGCTGTACTACTTTTAATTAAGGGCTAAATTTCTTTGGATAGAAATAGGGGTATGAGAGCCCCGTAGCGCCAAAGGAATTGACCCTACCCAAGCCTTTTCCAAGCAAGATCAAACCAAAATAAGGGACACCATAGACGTACCCACTGAAATAAAGTGATTTATTTGACGATAAGTTGATTTAATATCAAAGTAAAAGTACAACACGATACAAGTTTAACATGAGTTTACACTGAACAAATCCGGCCCAAATAAAAA